TCCTTGGGGCTTCGTTCAGCTCCCCAGTATCTGGAGGTTACCAACCCTTGCACTCATCTTTCATGCACGAGCTCCGAGGCAGCTGCTTCCACTGGGTGCTGAGGCAGGAGCAGGGGAGCGCGGGGGGGGGTGACCCCTCACTCACCACCAGGGCTGCCCTGGGCCCCCAGCAGGCTCCTGCCTGTCAGGGCCGTGGGGCAGGGTCCCCTTGGACCCTGGTTATGGTCCCCCCCAGCCCCAGGCCTCCCCACCCCACCTGGGACCCTCATTCCCTCACCCAGCTCCATTCAGAGCCCCCCAGGCTCCTCTCACCCCTTGGGCCTACCCGGGCCCCCCTTGGGCCTACCCGGAGCCTCCCCCCCCCAACCCCCGCTGCCCAACCCGGTGCTGCCCCTTCCACCCCCGTGCCCCATCTGCTCCCTGCCCGAGGACCCAGCTCGGGGACCCCCCCCCCAGCGCTGAGGGCACCCGGAGCCCCCCAACCCCTCCTCACGCCCCCGACCCCCGGGGCTTCTCCTCGAGGCCCCGCCCCTCCGCCCGTGGCCCCTTTAAGAGCGCTCGGCCTCGCCCCCGCGCGCGATGACGCCACGACGCACGCCTGCGCGCTGCGCACACTTCCTGCCCCACCCCGCCCCCCCACCGCCCCCCCCCTCCACATCCCCCCTTCCGCGGCCTTCCCCCTCCCGCAGCGCCGCGGTGACACCGAGCGGGACCCGCCGGAGCCGCCGCCGCCATGAACGGCAAAGGCAAGGGCAAGGGACGGGGGCGCGCCCCGTTCCACCGGGACACCTCCCCCTCCCCCCCATCCCCCCCCCAACCCCGCACCGGGCAGCGCCGCTCCGGGACGCGGCCCCTTTAAGGGCGTTGCCGCCGCAGCGCGTGACCGCGCGAGCCTGAGGGGCGGCCAATGGGGAGCGGGGCGGGGGGCGCGCGCGGGGGGCGCCATGGCAACGCGCGCCTCGGCCCGGGTTTAACCCTGTGGGCGCCGGAAGGGGGGGGGGACACGACACGACCCTCCCCTTGTGACGTAGCACGGGGCTGCGGCGCGTGACGTAAAGGATCCCCCCCTATGACGTACGAGCTGAGATGGGGGAAGCCCCCGCTGACGTAGCGGATGCTCCGAAGCGGGGGGGGCGTGACGCAGGGGGGAGAGAAGGGGACGCGCTGAGGTGCGGGAGAACCCCCCCCCCCCCCCCGCTGACGTAGGGAATCCCCTGGATGACGTCAGAATGGACCCCATCTTATGGCGGGTGCAGGAGCCCCTCTGGTGATGTAATGGGGGGGGCACAAGGGGGACCCCGAGTGACGGGGTCGGGGTTCGCAGTCGGGGAGATCCCTCAGGAGCAATGTGGATGGGGGGCAGTTCTCCCCACACAGAGCAGGGGGAGTGGGGCAGGGGCACCTGTGGGGGGGGGGCCATGGGGTAGTGGGGGGGACACCATCAGCCCCCCCCGGCCCAGAGGAAGGGGCTGAATTGGGGCTCTGAAGCAGAGGTGATGTGTGGTACCCCCCCCCCCCAAAACATGGGTCTGACCCCCCTGTTCCCCACAGGACAATATCCCACCCAGCCCTCCTACCCTGTGCAGGCTCCGGCCAGCGCCGCCGTGTACCCACAGAGCGTGCCCCTGCCACAGCCGCCGCCCTACACAGATGCACCTCCTGCTTATTCCGAGGTAGGTGGGATGCTGCTCTGGAGCCTTTATTTTATCATGGAATGGGTTGGGATGAAGGGGGAGTAAAGCTCACTCAGCTCCAGGGACCCCTTCCACTGGAGCAGGGTGCTCCGAGCCCCTGTGTCCAACCTGGCCTTGAGCACTGCCAGGGATGGGGCAGCCACAGCTTCTCTGGGCACCCTGTGCCAGCGCCTCAGCACCCTCACAGGGAAGAGCTTCTGCCCCAGAGCTCAGCTCAGTCTCCCCCCAGGCAGGTTCAAGCCATTCCCCTTGGCCTGTCCCTACATCCCTTGTCCCAAGCCCCTCTCCAGGTTTCCTGCAGCCCCTTCAGGCACTGGAGCTGCTCTCAGGTCTCCCCTTCAGGAGCCTTCTCTTGTCCAGGCTGCCCCAGCCCAGCTCTCTCAGCCTGGCTCCAGAGCAGAGCTGCTCCAGCCCTCACAGCATCCCCATGGCCTCCTCTGGCCTCACTCCAACAGCTCCACGTCCCTCTTGTGCTGCTGCCCCAGAGCTGGATCAGGACTGCAGGGGGGGTTTCCCCTTCATGCAGCAGAGGGGCAGGATCCCCCCCCGAGCTGCTGCTCACACTCTAGGAGTGTAGCCCAGCCCACGATGTAGTGGAAGGTGTCCCTGCCCATGGCAGGGGTTGGAGCTGGATGAGGTTTAAGGTCCCTTCCAAGTCACAGCATTCCATGATTCCATGACTTGCGTCTCTCAACTTCCTTGCGTGCCTTCTTTTCTCCCCAGCTTTACCGTCCCAGCTTTGTGCCGCTGGGGGCTGCCACCGTGCCCACCATGTCTGCAGCATACCCGGGGGTCTTCCTGCCCATGGCCCAGTCGGTGGCCGTGGGTCCGCTCAGCTCCTCGGTCCCCATGGCATACTATCCCGTGGGACCGGTTTATCCCCCGGGATCCACAGTCCTTGTTGAAGGTGGCTTTGATGCTGGAGCGAGGTTTGGAGCTGGTGGAACCGCCAGCATCCCTGTGAGTATAACTTTGTCTGCAGCATTGTATGCCCCATCCCGGGCAGTGCTCCAGGCCAGGTGGGACACAGGGGCTTGGAGCACCCTGCTCCAGTGGAAGGGCTTGGAGCTGGAGGAGCTTTAAGGTCCCTTCCATCCCAGCCTGTTCCACGATTCTATGATTGTAAAACCCTGTGTGCTTCAGCGCTGGATGTTTGCTTAGATGTGGGGGAGATGTCCTTTGTTTCCTGAGGAAAACATCTTAACCTGATCCATCATTTGGGCCAAGAGCAGGCTCCTCCTTGTGCCTGTTTAACCTGGGGGTTCCCCTCAGCTCCTGGGCTCTGTCTTTGCTTCTTTAGCAACAGGCACACGAACTGGGAGTGATGGCTTTGTCCCAGTGACCTCAGCTATGCCCTGCCTCTCCTTTCTCTGTCTTGCAGCCCCCCCCTCCTGGCTGTCCCCCCAACGCCGCCCAGCTGGCCGTAATGCAGGGAGCCAACGTCTTGGTGACACAACGGAAGGGCAACTTCTTCCTGGGAGGCTCAGACGGCGGCTACACTATCTGGTGAAGAAGGAAGGGGAAGGGGGGGAGAGGGGGGGCTACATTTGTGTAAGGAAAGACATCACATTCTGTCAGCACTTCTCACGATGTAACTGCTTTAGTCCATATTAACCTGAAGTTGCAGAGTAGACACGAAGCGGTGCGGTGTCTCCTGGTTCGGTGCCTGCAGGCACGTTGAGGTGAAGCACGAAGCCCTGGTGATGCTGGCGGTGCCTCTGTTGGAGCGGGAGGGGGGAATTAATCCATGGGATGAATGGGAGGGCAGCAGCCCTGCCTCTTCCTTTCACTCACCGCAGCGCTGAGCTCGTAGGAATCAGCTCCTTCCACACTGGCTTTGGGATGGGTGAGGGAGCGGATCCGCTTCCCCCTTCCCTTCCTGCTCCTCCGGGCCCGCTGCACCCAGAGCCACAAGCACCCGGGCTTCCCTTGCACCGAAGCAAAGGTGCTGGGGAGAGCAGCGATTCCCAGCAGCGAGCAGGGCACCCTGGCACCTCTCCCTTGCTGACCTCACTGAGGACGCATCCCTGGGAGCGCTCCCTGCTCGCCCATCGCTTCCCTGCAGGAAGGTTTGCAGCTGGCGGCTCATGGGATTGGTTTTAGACACTCCAAGTAATCTTGGATTTCTTTGCACACTAGATCTAATCAAAGCCATGCTTTGGTGCCAGAAACACAACGCAGCTCATGTTCCTTTCATTCAGCGCTAATGAGGCTTTTAGAGCGATGCTTAATAACCAACCTCCTTCTTCCTTGCTTTCAAACTCAACTGGTGTCTTGACACCCAAACTCCTTCCGGCTGTTGCTCAAACAGAGCGGGTGGTTACCATCTGCCCATCAACACCCGAGTGAGCCGGCTCAATGGCTTGGTTTCTGAATGCATACTTTAAAACAATGAAGTCTTATTAGGGGTAAGAAGAATATTTCAGGGATCCTCCGTGTTTTGGGTTTGGTTTTGAGGTGTTTTTCTTTTGTTGTTGTTGTTGTTGTTGTTTTATGAAGACAAATACCAGATTCAGATATATTTTATCTTGAGGTTTCAGTTGAATCTAAACCTGTCTTGTCCCTGTTGTGTTTAACCATCAACTGACTGTTAGGAAGCTCGGCATTACGTCTCTCTCTGTATACACTGTGGTGCACTTAACTTGTGGATTTTTTTATACTAAAAAGAAGTAGAATAAAGACTATTTTGAAAATTTGACTGGAGGAGCCACTTTGCATTAGCCCCAGATACCACCACAAGCTTCAGGGCTTCTGCACTGATTTCCTCTTCACTGGTGCTTTGTGAGCTTCCTCCTTTGAGGGGGTTTGGGGGCTTGGTTTAAAGGAGGAATTGCCTTGAGCAAGGAGCAGAGGAGGGATGGGAGGAGCTGCTCCTTGCCCCAGCTCTGTTCTGAACACAAGCAGAGGGAAACCATTGTCTCCACCTGCCTGAGCCCATGTGCAGGTGCTAAAGCTGCCTCTGGATGAAGCCATCCTGGAGCCCTCTGAGGTCAGGGATGAGCAGCCCCAGGGTTTATGGGCTGCAATGGGGCTTTCACTGCATGGTCCCTCAGCCTATTCTACCTGTAGGCTTCACCTTCGCCTCCATGTCCATCGCCCCATCCCATAGGAGGAGCTTAATGTGGGTTTTGGGCTAAGGGCAAAGAAAAGAACAGGGACTCCTCAGTTTGTCACTGGGTTGTATTCAAAGGCACCGCAGGGAGGGGCTGGGGGGGTGCTGCTCTCCTCCTGCCCTTGGTGTGCTCCAGGCAGGCAGTGATGGGCAAAGCTCTGACGCATCCCTGGAGGGGGGGGGGTGTGGGGTGTGTTTCCTTCCATGCTTGGCTTAATAAATTAAGGCAAAGAATTCAAAAGCAGCTTGGAAATCCCCAACTCCAGGAAGTTCGGCCCCGAGAGCACGAGAGGTGTGCGCTGGAGCCGTGCCTTAGATGAAATACTCTTCTTTCTCTTTGGCTGGAGCATCCTCCATCTGCACCGCCACGTCGGTCTCTGCTGCCGGCTGCTCGTAGGTGAGGTAGCTGCCTTTGTTTCTGTACAGGTAGATGATGATCACCACCAGGACCGTCAGCAGGGTGAGGAACACCAACGTGATGACAACTGCCAGCAGAAAGCAGAGGGAGGAGCAGGGGGGAGCCCTGGGGTGGTTGGTACCAAGCTGCTCCTCGGTAAATGGGGTGGATGTGGCAAGGAGAAGCCCTACCTGCGATGACCACGGTGTTGGCGTCCTCATGGAGAGGTGGAGAGTGAGCCTTCTTCAGGAAGGGGGTTGTCAGCTCTTCTTGGATCATAGAATCATGGAACGGTTTGGGTTAGAAAGCACCTTGAAGCTCATTCAGTTCCAAGCCCCTGCCTCCTCCCACTAGAGCAGGTTGCTCCAAGCCCCGTCCGCCCTGGCCTTGAGCACTGCTCTCCTGCTTCCTTCATCAAAGCAGGAGAGAAGGAGGGAGGGGAAGGTGAGCAAGGCAGGTCCTGAGCCGGCTCTGAGCCAGGCATAGCTGGACGGGGCAGGCAGTGGCCCTGGGCAAGGTCTCACCAGGGGTTCACCAAGGGCAGAGCTGTCCTGGGGCGCTCACCTGCGGTCAGAGGGGGCTGATCCCCTTCCATGGCATCGGCTCCTCGCAGGGGAAGGTCTGGGCTCCTTCAGAGCTGCCAAAACCCAGAACACAAGTGATGAATTCACAGAGCACCCGGCGCAGGGCACGGCCGGGCAGCGCCAGCCGGAGCCAAGGCCTCGGTGGGGAGGTGAGGAGCGGGCTGGGGAATGCTGGAAAACCCAGGCGCTGACTCTGCAATTCCAGCTCCCAGAGCTTCAAATCGCCCCGACCTCCTCCCGGATCCTCCCGTTGCCGTCCCGGGGTCGATGCTGCAGCCGGAACGTTCTTCCTGCAGTGAGGAAGCTGCTAAACCACGACCTTCATCCCGGTGGGGCCGAGCCCTCGGGATGCAGCGCGCGGGCTGGGGGATGCTAAACCCGCAGCTGCAGTGGGATTCACTCCCCGGCTCTGGCCCTGCCCGGTTGTGCCCTCGTGACGCGGGGGTTGCACAACATCCCCCCAGCAGCAGTTCTGCTTTCGAGGGCTGCCACAGGAAGTTGGGAAGAGCGTTTCCCCCTTCCCAGAGCGTGGGAGAGTTGTGGGCACCATCTCCCACAGGCAGGGACCAGCACCCAGCTCTCAGCCAGATCCCCAACAACTTCACCCCAAGCTCAAGCCCAGGCTGGCACAAGCCACCAGCTCAATAAACCCGGCTTCCCTTTAAACCTGGCTTTGCTTTAGATCCATCTTTGCTTTAAACCTGGCTTCCCTTTAAACCCGGCTTTGCTTTGTGCCGGGCTTCCCTTTAAACACAGCTTCCATTTAAACCCAGCTTCACTCTAAACCCAGCTTGCTTTGAACCGGGTTTCACTTTAAACCCGGCTTCGTTTTGAACCCAGCTTTGCTTTAAACCCGGCTTTGCTTTAAACCCGGCTTTGCTTTAGATCCATCTTTGCTTTAAACCCATCTTATTTTAAACACAGCTTTTCTTTAATCCCAGGTTTGCTTTAAACCCAGTTTGCTTTAAACCCAGCTTTGCTTTAGATTCAGCTTCACTTTAAACCCAGCTTTGCTTTAGATTTGGCTTCACTTTAAACCCAGCTTTGCTTTAGATCCAGCTTTGCTTTAAACCCGGCTTCACTTATAAACCCAGCTTCACTTTAAACCCAGTTTAATTTAAACCCAGCTTTGCTTTAAACCCAGCTCCACTTTAAAGCTCATTGGGCTCCTCTGGTGGCGATGTCTGGGCGCCAAGGAGCTTGAAGGCACTTCCCAAAGCCAACCACAAGCTTCCCCCCAAGCAGCTTCAGCGCAGGACATGGGTCACATTCCCCCAGCATGGAAGCTTGGGATGGAAGGGAGAAGAGGAAAAGGCGCTGCTGGATGGGCAGGAGCCGGTGCAAGATGGGGACAGGGCTTCTTGGGAAGCGTTTGGCATTGCCAATGGGAAACACAAACCAGTTCCATGCCCACACCACCTGGAAATGGAGAGCTGGGACCCAGCAGAGGTTTAAACCAGGTGGGAGGGAGCCCCATGCTCCACAGCACGGAAAACCATGGGATGTGTTGCTGTGCCAGGGTTACTTCGCTGGGCCGGGATCCAGCTGCTGCGGGTCAGAGGCTCCGGGGGCTGACAGGGAGCAGTGACTCACGTCCCAGCGCACCAGATCCCCATGGATCTCCATGTGTTTTCCAAGCCATGGAGGGGTTGTACAAGAACCACCCCATAATCTTCCTCATTGGCCTCTCAGGCCAAGTTGCCCAAGAGCCATTCCCACCGCAAAGCTGCAGCTCTGCTCCCTAAAAACTCCATGCGGGATGCTCTGCTCACAGCCCTCCCATTCCCGTTCCCGGTGAATGGAGGCCGGGATGCACAGAACATCCCTGCAGCTCACCCCCACCTCTCCCCCGCGCCCCGGGGGGGTATCCCGGGAGCAGCGCTCCCCTCTCCCCTGCACCCTCGCAGCTTTCCCACTGGATTCGCTGTTTCTGCCTCTGCCTGCAGCAAGCTCAACCCCTTCACCTCCGCATCCACCCGAAACCCACCTGGAAGCCCCCGTCCCACATCGACATCTCGGTGCCACCCGCACCCAGCCTGGGGCATCCCTCGTGGCCTCCCCGTGCAAACCACACCCCCCCAAGGGTCCACATCGGGGTCCCCCCCGCTCCTACCTGCGCCCGCCGAGCCGGGCCCGCGGCTGCCGGCACCATGCGCTGCCCGCGCCCAGGCGTTGCCCTTTTCCTGCCTCACCTTTCCAGTCCGGCGGCGGCAGCCGAGCCGGGAACACCGCCCCCGTTAACCCCGTGCGCGCTGCGGAGCCCGCCCGGAGCGCAGGGACGGGATGGGGGGGGGGGGGGACCGGATGGAGCAGCCTTGAGGAGAGGGACTTGGGGTCCCCAGGAGCAGGCTTCAGGGAGCCCAGAACCCCCCCAGTGTGGGGCTGCACCCCCAGAGCGGGAGCAGCAGCTCCGGGAGGGGATCCTGCCCCTCTGCTGCGGGAAGGGGAGACCTGAGAGCAGCTCCAGGGCCTGAAGGGGCTGCAGGGAACCTGGAGAGGGGCTTGGGACAAGGGATGGAGGGACAGGGACAGGCCAAGGGGAATGGCTTTAACCTGCCAGAGGGGAGACTGAGCTGAGCTCTTAGGCAGAAGCTCTTCCCTGGGAGGGTGCTGAGGCGCTGGCACAGGGTGCCCAGAGAAGCTGTGGCTGCCCCATCCCTGGCAGTGCTCAAGGCCAGGTTGGACACAGGGGCTCGGAGCACCCTGCTCCAGTGGAAGGGGTCCGTGGAGCTGGATTGGACCTGGAGGAGCTTTCAGGTCCCTTCAACCCAAACCATTCCATGGTTCCATGAAGCTCCTGCCCCGGAGCAGTAAATGGCAGTGGGGTTTTGCTTTGATGTGTGGGACATTTGCAGCAGGGGGTTAAGTTCGGGCACTGTCTGGTTTGTGCATGGCAGCACATTCCCTGGAGCCGGCAGAACTGGCTCCGCACCTTCTTCCTGAGTCACAGCGGCGCCGGGCGCTGAGAGCAGGGCGACAAATCCTTCCTGCACTCAGCTTCGGGCACCATAAAGCCACAGGCGGGGACCCCCCCGCACTCCCACGGCCGCCAGCCCAGGCAGCCGTGGGCTATTGCAGGATGGAGATGGACCACCTCCTGTCACCGCCTCCTCTGCCTTTATTCCAGCCGGGATGGGGATGGAAGCACATCACGGTTATGGGGGAACAACGTTATCCACTGGTGGCACCCGGAGGCACCGGTTCCGGGCTCAGAGGGAGGTGAGGGTCTCGCTGGGGTCTGCAGGGGGGCTTGTTGCTGGTGGAGGGTCCTGGCTCTCATCCTGCTCTGGCATCCCGGGACAGTCTTGCTCCTGGCAGGGACACAGAGGTGATGCTGAGCCGGGCAGGATGAAGCCCTTGTGCTTGGATTAAACTGGATCCAAGAAGGACCCAGTCTGGATGGGGGGTGGTGGGGGTGGTGTGTCAGTTCAGCATCTGCCCCCCTGGTGCCACTGCACCCACCTCGGTTGTGGAGCCAGAGGAGGAGCCAGGGTCTCCAGTGCAGCCACTCGCTGCCGCGTCGAGGCCCGGATCCAGCCCCATCTGCCAGCAGAGGAAGGTCACTGGGTTTGCCCCATGGATCCCCACCGGCCACCCCCAGCAGGGTCTGGGTCTCTGAACAAGCCGGGGATCCCCCCAGCATCACTGCCCCCACCACCGCCTCTCCCGTCCCATCACCAGAGCTCCCTCACCTGGGTCCTGGCCACCTTCGGCTCGATGTCCATCACCTCCACGCTCTCCTCGGAGTCACTGCCGAGCCGGCACGGCTCCTGCTCACCCCCCAGCCATGGGCAAGCAGCGGGACCCGGCTCATGGCAGGGAGCGTGCACTGGGGACAGCGGCTCCATGGGGCAAGCCCGACCCTGCACAGTGGTGGCCATGCCATGGGGGCCCGGCTGATGGGGGTCCTCCCCTGCCTGGGCTTTGCTTGTGCCTTGCCCCGGCGCTGGCGGCTCGGTGCCGGCAGCCTGAGCGACGGCCTCGGACAGGATCAGCGACGCCAGGGAGGTGGCGATGCCCTCGGCCCCCCCCGGCTCCGGGCCCTGGTGTTCGGTGGCCCCCGGCTCCGCGGCTGCCCCCGATGTCCCCAGCTCTTGGGACGGAGCCTCAGGGCTGGGACCAGGCTCCGGGCTCTCCTCGCTGGAGGTTGATGCTGTCTCCGAGAGGGACCCCCCGCTGGCGGGTGACGCCGGGGGTGGGCTGGGGACAGCGGTGCCCGGCTCCCCATTGGAGATGGCATCGGTGGCCCCGCGGCCCGCGCCGGGGGACGTCGCCGTCGCCTCCGCTTCCACCGCGGGCCCCCAGTCCGGTGCCTTCCCTGGGCAGGGGAACATGGCCGGGGGGCTCACCGGGGACGAGATGACCAGAGAGCGGCGGCTGCTGGTGGGGGGGGAGCACAGGGGGTTAAACCCACCTCGAGCACCATCTACCTTGGGGTCCCCATGGGCGATGCTGCCCCATTCGGCACCACCGGAGAATGGCTCCAGTTAACCAACCCCGCACCACCAAAGCGCCCTCAACCCCATGCTGGGTGATGTTCACCCACCCCAGTGCCATAGGGCTGGGGGCTGTGTCACCCATCTGCTTTCTGGGGGGGGGGGGTGATTAAGCCACTTGAAGCCCTCTCTTCAAGCCCATCTACCTGGGGACGCCTTTGATGATGAAGACCTTGCTGGAGTGCTGCTTGTCCAGTTTGCTCATCACCTCGTAGAGGTCGTGGTTGAGCTGGGAGGGGAGGGAAGAAACACATGAGAGGACCCCCCCCCGGTGCCACCCATCACCAGCAGCACCAACATCCTCGAGCTGCATTCATTTACTGAGCTAAATGAAGAGCAATGAGGACTCGAGGTGCAGCCAGAGCACCAAGGGGTGGCTGTGAGACTGCTGGGGGGGGGGGTGGGGGGGGGTGAAGGGGCCTTGCCCCCCACCTTGCTCATCTCCTTGTAGAAGACATCGCGGAGGTTGGAGATGTTCTGGAAGATGGTCACATAGCAGGCGATGCGGCTGGGGGGGAAACACGGCGGGAGATGGGGGGGCTCTGGGATGCTGAGCGCGCAGTGGGGAGCCCCCATCCTCCTGTCCCGGGGTGGCCTCGCTGCATCGGCGGTGCTGCCACCTCCCGGCTGTCGCAGGGCCCTCCGCTGCCGGTCCGTTTGGGGACAAACCCCACCTTTTT